CGACTGTGTAGCAAAAGAGTTTGCAAGTACTGGGACATACTAACACGTCATGTAATTGAAAAGAATGTTGTTGCCTAGTTACTCTGTCACCGTACGCACTCTGTCACCGTAAACAGTCCCCTTGTTGCATTTCAGCTTCTTTTCATTATTAATTCATACGATATATTTTAATTTACCCTTCCTAGATTTATTCATTTTGCATTTAGTGTTTAACATTTAAGCTCTTACACTTAAATGCTGAAGACGCGTGTCACACACATCCGCCATGTTTGCAGGCTGAATTCAGCGAAGCAAACGGTCACAAAACTCCTCCCTTGCGCAAGGAGTTGTGGACAATATTAGCTGAAAAGTGTTAACGGATCCTCACTTCGAAAATCTAGCCAAAGTATTAGACCATCCGGGTACCTCTGGGATACTCATTTCAACATAATACGATTTGGGACTTCATTTCGGATTCTATTTAGGGTGGATAGTAGGCGAATTGGGACGCAGCATCTGTATAAATTCTAGAGAAAATCTCGGCAGTTTGTGAAATACATAAACCAGCCCAACTGGAGGCAAACAACCATGTCTGGGTCAAAGTCGCTGAGATCACAGTGATTTTTTCCCCATTTTGGTTTGATGTGAATATTCACTGAAGCTCTTTACCTGTATTTGCATGATTTTATGCATTGCATTGCTGCCAACTGATTGGCTGATTGGATAACAGGTATACAGGTGTTCCTAATAAAGTGTACTGTATATCAAGAATGAATATTTTTTTTGTTTGTTTGTTCTCAAAATAGTGTGCACACTTTGGAGCTGCCGTTGCGTTGGTGTGCACTTGGAGCGAGCTGCCCATTGGCACTGACTGTCCTGCCAGCTGCAGCTGTTTTCTTCTGCGCTTCTAGTTCAAGGTGAAGCCGCTGGAGCTCCTCAGTAACTGCAGCCATTTCTGACGTTCTTGTTTGCAGAGCTTCACTCGTCTTCTCAAGGTTGACCGTCAGATCGTGGAGCTCTTTGTCTTTAAGGTGACACTTGTGTTCCAGGTTAAGCACTTTCTGATGCAGCCTGGCAGCCAGAACCCGGGTAGACTGCAACTAAGGGACAGAAAGGTTCAAATAAAAATTACAGCAAGATATTGCTACAAATTGCTTTTCACAATTTCTTGTTAAGAGACTGAAATTGAACAGATTGTTAAAGATGAAGGCTATTCAAACCACCCAGTCTGTATTTCAAAATAGCTGCCAGCAAAATTGCAAACAAGAGTATGGTATTTTTAGTCATTATAACACCAGCATTCTATATAAATACGTATATAAGTACAGAACAGAAGCACAAATATAAATATACTATATAATATAACTTCTTGTAATGTTTACAATTAGCAACATACATGACATCATGTCATATCACAACACTTTTAAAACACAAATACTTTTACAACATGTTTTACAATTTTGAAAACTATATTTATTTCTGTTGAGGTTTGCTGAAGAAATGCTGCAAAAAATCGTGTGTCACATTTTTAAAAACCTACAAATGTAACAGATGAAATCAATATACATTTTGGCAGGACTTGATCAGTCCAGTCATAGTACTCATCATACAAATCATACATCATACTACCCACAATACTCTTAGAAAAACGTCTTGTGATGTTAGTATTGCAACACGTATAGAAATGTATCATATCTCTGACCTCCAATGTCATGCGGCTTCTCTTTTATGGTGGCTGAATCTTTGCAAACTGTACAGCATTTGTATAGTAGATATCAGAATTTATATATATATATATATATATATATATATATATATATATATATATATATATATATATATATATATATATATATATATATATATATACACATACACACACACACATAAATATATACACACACACACACATCACACTCATGCACTGGAGCACTGCAGAAAATTCTGCAAAAATATCTTGCATATAGGCAAATGTATCTCATATTTTTATTATGACATTATTATAAATCAAATATATTTTTATTGACCCGGTTTTTCTTTTTTTATGTTTTCACTCAAAATGTCTTATTGTACAGGCAGATAAATTTGCTATAGTAATTACTTAACATGAGAAAAAAAAAAACAATCTACCTATAGAACAAGAATATTCAAACTTAACATTAGGACAAATGACTATATATAGGTTTATGAATCATATATTAGGTTTATTCTTATCTGATAATACATTCGATTACATTCAAGATATTTTCTACAGGAGTACTGTGGCATAATCTAGCAACAGTTCCTGATCAAATTCTCAAAATGATTATAAAAAGTGGAACTTCATTTGATGCTGTTTTAAAGGCAAAGGGCTATCATACCAATTATTATTATTATTATTATTATTACTGGTTCATTCTTTTCCTGTTTATTACTCTTTATAAGCATTTATTATAGCCGTAATCTTCCAAATCCATATGGATTTTAGTAAGGGTTTTTTTTTTCCTTTCAAAAAGTTTGCTGACATTTGAACTTGGTTTATTTCAAGGTAATGTAGAAATTTGGCTTGTGTAGAACTGCGAGTGGGTGTTTTTTCAATTAAGACGAGAATTATGATCTGCTGCTGTGTCTGAGTGATCCTTTTCCATATAGGGTAGAGGAACGCAAACAACGTAGGTACCTAATAAACCTATTTGTCATTTGGTACCTTTAAAAAGGCAAGTAATAACTAAAATATCACTCCGCATACATGTTTCTCTTTTATTATACTCAATTAGATATTTTTGACATATCACATGATACCTGGGCAGACATCTCAATCGAAGATGATTTGAGCTCCTCAAGCTGCTCCACTCTGGCTTCACATGCTGTGAGAACCTCGATTAGGGTCTGGTTAGCCGCACTGCCTTCCTTTTCACAGATATGACCATCAACCCCGTCCAAGTTGGGATTATTAATCTCTGCCTCTGTCACGTCACTGATTGTATTAACCTTTACACCAGTTTGGGGACAAATGGACTCCTCTTGAAGGTCTTGCAGTGGTGTGATGGTGGACTGATTGTCCAGTTGGACCTCTAAAATGTCAGAACTGCTGTTGGACGGCATCAACTGGTGTCCTGCCACCTCCTTCTGGTTATCAGACACAGTAGAAGAACCCCACTCCATGTGTTCAGGAATCAATGCAATGTATGAGGTATCTTCTGGAGGACATGATCCAACTGGGACATCATCCATGGAGCTGCAAGCATCCACCGAATCAAGTTGTGTGTTAGAATCTTGTCCCAAAGTAGTCCTTCCTAATTCACCTAATTCATCACTACATCCTTCAGAGGGCAATGCAACATATCTTATAGTTGTGGCAGGGCACGTCTCTTTACACGCGTCCTTAATTCGAACGGCTCCATCACCTGGACTTCGACCTTCACTGGTCTCTTCCATTTCTATTAGTTCTCTTATAGACTCCAGAGGTGATGTATGGTGTAGATGTGCCAGGATTCCTGGTTTGTCCAAAGGCTGGCCTGAGAACATGTCGGGCTGTTTATTGTCCTTGGTTTTACTGTTAGTTTGAGCATCCTTGATTTGACATGGACTACCGGAAGTAATACTGTATATATCCTCCAAGTCCTGTTGGGATTGTAAGGTATCCTTTCCAGATGGTTTCAGAGCTGGTAGACTTGCTTTGTTATCTAGAAAGTTGCAATTTTCTTCTAGGTTTCTAGTTGACATCGTCATAGCATCTTATAGTCACACGACACAGTCAATAGGCCTGCAGTGAGGAAAACAAGAACCTGACGACAATGCTAGCCACAATTTTATACACAGTAATATATCTAAATTTAATCATTCATGCCAAAAGCCTCTAGGTAATATCTACCAAACTATATGATATTGTTTTTGATGTATTACATTTTTCATTTATTATTTCACAATCCAATGTAAAAGACAACACTGATATTCACTTACCTTCACCTGGAGCAATGAGTATCATGAACCAAATGGCTCTTCAGCAGCGTTCATCTCATTCAACGTTTGGCCAAGAGAGTGGCCTTCGTGTTGAAAAGCTGAACACTGGGCCAGCAGACTCAGGTTACACCGAGCTATACAACGATCCTCGACTACAGTTCACATCAACACTTTCATGGCAACCTTATGCCATTTTGTCATTTCAAATCCCAAAAAGTAAAACAAATATACATTAAAATGTTCCTTTTTAGGATTTTGATACTAGACACTACCACTTTGTTCACATAAAGATTATTTACACACTTTTTATAGTTTCTTTTTCTTTAAACTTGTAGGTTTGAGTTTTTTATTTATTTGAAACTGCATAAACATTAACGCATTCTGTACGTTATCTATGACATACCTTAAGCTACATATTGAATTATTCACTAATGAAATTGATACCTTGAAAACAACGCTTTCTCAAATATTCCGATTGCTAGCTGTTACTGGGAGGATTTCCTTACGCTCACACCAAAAAGGCATAATCATATTGTATCTTTTAAATGACTAAATCACTGCTGTAGTGAAGGTCACATCATTGCTTATCTTGTACCCCAGGCAAAAATTATGGAATCAAAACACTTAGAGGATGTTCATTCGTCTTTTTATTTATTTATTACTTCATAGCAAATAAACAAATCACAGACACGAGACAAACCAATTTTTGTTTAATAGCTAAACATTCCCGCTTCGTGAAACATACCAGAATTAAATAAAATAAAATAATTTTCATTATTGCTGTTTGATTTTTCCCAGATCAAGTAGAGGAAAAATTATGAAATCATCAACAACAACAACATAAATCACAATTAGTACTATGTTGTTCCTCCTTGGGCTTTTATGATGGCCTGAATTCTTTGACACATGGATTTCACTAATGAAAAACAATATTCTCCATCAAGCTGGTTCCAACTTTCTGGTTAATAACTATAGTAGTTAGCGATCAGTAGAGGTTGACAGCTCAGCTTTGCAGGATGGAGCCTTGTGATGGACCAGTTTTTTTTTTAATTTCCATCATAAATTTCCAATCGGTGCACAGTGCGGTAGTGTGGTTAACACGCTTGCCTTGCACCTCTGTGGTTGGGGGTTCGAATCCCACCTCTACCCTGTGTACGCAGTTTGCATGTTCTCCCCATGCTTCGGGGGTTTCCTCCCACAGCCAAAAAACATACGTTGTAGGTTGATTGGTGTGTAGTGTATGAATGGGTGCGTGGTTGTGCATTGGGGGTTTGCACCCAGTTCAGGGTATCCGCCACCTTGTGCTCTGAGTTCCCTGCAATACGCTCCAGGCTCCACTGCAACCCTGTGTAGGAGAAGTGGTATGGAAAATGGATGGATGCATTTTCAACCGAATTGAGATTCTGACTGTTAGCTGGCCATGTTACCAGGTTGAAATGCCTCCTGTAGGAAAACTTGAACACTTTTTGCGCTGTGGCAAGATGCATTATCTTCCTGCAACATGACTTCATCTCTACAGAATCTATTTTCTCTTGATGGAATGAGAAGTGTCCAAAATTTCAATGTATATCTGTTGAGGTAATGGTTGCCATCTGCCCTGGTCCTTTACCTGACATACAGCCCCATATCATAAATGAGTAGGGACATTTGATTGTTTTCTTCAGGCATCTTTACGTTTCATTAGAACGGCACCAGACAAAAGTTCCAGCATCATCTCCTTGGCCAATGCAGATTTGTGATCCATCACTGAAGATCACTTTCATCCACACTCTACGATTGTGTCTCTTTAGGCCACGGTAACCTTGTTTTCTTCTGTTTAGGTGTTAGTGCATCTTCCTTGGTCTACTCGTATGTTTTCCTTTGAAAACATCCCATTTTGTTTACACTCGCAACAAATTTTAGACACGGATGACTGGGAACAACCAACATGAGTGTTGGATTTCCTTCTTGAAGGAGATTTATATTCCTTTCCACTGTTTCAATTTACAACTCTCATATTGGGGCAATGTTTCCTTTCAATTAACTAACATCTTGTTAAGGTCTGTAAGCACTCTCTTTTAACTGCAGACTAATTTGCATTTTCAGCCTTGTGCAGGTATTTATTTTAGAAATGCAAATTACAAGGTGACCTCATTTTCCCCCTCCACTTGATCTGGTTAAAATATGCCATTAATTAAAATTATTTAATTGAATTAGTTTCTAGGTATGTTTCACAAAGCCAGAATATTCAACGGTTCACCAAAAATGGTCGTCTCATATCTGTGATTTGTTTATTTGCAACGAAGTAAAAAAGCTGGGTGAACATCCTCCAAGTGTGGTGATTCCATAATCTTCACCAGGGGTTGCATCTGACATAGCTTTTTTCCACTGCTCAGTGACAAAACAATTATGAGATCATATGAGGCAGTTGGGGCAACACAATAAAACTCTTCAATTGCATGATGACAATATCAGTGTATAGTAGAATAGCTGCTGGCTTGAACATCCTAAGGCAATTTTCCTCAGTAAAACAACTTACCAGATCCATTTTGAAAATAAAAAGCTGTTTCAAGTACTAATTTAGGCATGAAAATTTCTTTCCAAGTCATATGTGACATTTATTAACTTCAAGATTTGGGTCTTTTTTTTACTTGTTTAGTACTTGTCATTAAAATAAAAGTGACCAATAATATCATTGTATCAAATGTACCCATATTTTCCATTAATTTGACATAGACAAGACATTCAGTCAATTCTAGTGTTATGGAAGTGAGTTGTGATCTCATTATGAGTATCTCAGCCTGCACAGGATTTAGTTTCAGTAAGACAGTTTGAATGTCTGGTCACGTGACCTTTCGGGAAGAATTTTCTTTAAAATTCAAAGATGTCCGTATTATACCGGTTTCTAAGCAAGATGCACATTTTAGCTGCTGTGATGAATTAAAAATATTAATTCTTAAGAATACAAGTTTTGCATTTTGGATGCAATACCTGAAACCTTCCTTCACACACCCACATCATGTGACTAACTGTTGTATAAAACCACAAAAGAGCTAAAACAGAAATGAGTTTTAGACCAACACCAAGCTTATCCTTAAAATACAGCTTTGTGTATGAGCACCCGTAGTTTCTAAATGTACAAAATACATCCACTGCCAAAAGCCTATGCAGTTACATATACATTTGGACAAAATTCCTATTTTCAAATACATTTTCATACCATGTGTACTCTTACCACTGCACAAAGCCCACAAGAAGCCAGGGGCTTTTTATAGGCTGCCTATTTATACAAGCGAGTCATGGTGAAGGCCTGCCACTGAAATTGATCCCAACTTTCAAAGGACCCTTAGATTCAAATTTAGCACACAATCATTTTTGCTGATGAAGGAAGAAGGGACGAGCACTCAAGCGCCGGGCTTTACCGGTACTTCGTTTTTGACACACCCAGGGGAGTCGTGCTGCACATAAAAACATCTGAGCTGGCAGTCAATAAGATGTTCACAGTAATTATCCAGGATATGATGAATAGTCTATTAGATATACGAGACTGATGGGGTGTTCAATGCCCTTATCAGGATTGTTTACAATATTTCTAAGCCCATGGGAAGCATTCACAGTGTGTACTGTCTTACACTACCAGTGCGTTGAAACATTTTCCTCGTCTCTGTCATTTTAACAATCATATACCTCAATCACTTTTTAGAAGGACTTCTTGTTAAGCAAACAGTGTAATACATCATTTATCACTTGCATTTCTTACTAAAAAAATTTTTTTAAATCATGAAAGTGTACAGCATATAGCTTTGGAAACGCTACTAATTTCAGGTTTCGTATTTTGAGACATCTAGATTGCATTTTAAACATTTCAGACCATATCCCAGTTTCATGCTAAACGTAAAGATCATTTGCTGCATCATCAAAAGGAGCAACATGAAATTTGATATGTAAAAAGGGGGGCCTGCATTAGTGCAGCAAGTAAGAAAGGTCCCAAGGCAATTGACTTAGAATCCCAGTGATGAGGTCCCCCACCCAGTCACTAAGATCTGGTGAAAGCATTGATGTTTGTTATCTTTCTGGCTGTATTTCTGAGATAAAGAAATGGATGAATAATAACTTTAATAACAGCGGGAAAACTGAGGTCATGCTCATAGGTTCCCGTCATCAGATTCGCAAAGCGGCTCCACTGTCTTTATCCGTTGACGGCTCCGTTCTAAAGTTCCAAAGCAAGATGAGGAACCTTGGTGTAATTTTTGACACTAACCTCACTTTTGATTCTTTTGTTCAGAGCACTGTGAAAGCTTCCTTTTTTCATCTCAGAAATATTGCCAGATTAAGACCAATGATAAACTTATCTGTCGCTGAAAAGCTGATAAACTCATTTGTGGTCACGCGATTGGATTATTGCAATGCCGTTTTAGCCGGAGTTTCTAAAACTGCAATTAGCAAATTGCAGCATGTTCAGAACTCTGCCGCCCGGATCCTGATGGGAAGCAGGAGATATGACCATATCACTCCTGTTCTGAAGTCCCTACACTGGGTCCCGGTCAGGTTCCGGGTGGATTTTAAGAACTTAATGCTAACATACAAGGCATTGCATGGATTGGCTCCACAATATTTGACTCACTTATTAATCCCATACACCCCACATCGCAGACTGCGCTCCTCACAGGGGAATCTACTGACGGTTCCACTTACCCACCTTAAGTCTATGGGCTTTTTCTGTCTACGCTCCATCTCTTTGGAACTCTCTTCCCCCTGAACTCAGGGAAGCTCAGTCCTTTGGAATTTTTAAAGCTCTTTTAAAGACACACTTTTTTAAACTCGCGTTTGATTCTTAATATCTTTTGACTGTTTTATATTTGTTTATTATTAGTTTTATTCATGTTATTTAAGTTTTTATTTATTCTGTGATTTGTCTTTTAATGTACAGCGCTTTGAGAAGCCACTTTAAAGGCGCTTTATAAAATAAACTTTATTATTATTATTATGTATCTGCACTTACCCAAAAACGTTTTCTAAAATTCTATACTTATCACCATCTTGAACCCTGTATATGCCAAGTCAATCTATTTGTTAATTTCAGAATCATATGAATATTGATCACCTGCACATGTTCACATATCTTGGTTTACACAGACATAAACTTTGATGTTACAAACATACAGTCTCTCTGCTTATTTTTTTCATATTGAATAATAAAATTGCTTGAGGTAACTGTTCCACAAAAAAAGTCGACAGAAATACCAAACACAAGTGTCTACGCTTTAATCCTTATGAAGACAAATCAGATTCTATTACTTCTATACAAACTGAATGCCCACAACCCCACCCAATCCACCACCGTCTTGGTAACCCACTGTTACGTTTGTTATGTTGCTGATGCACTTTGCCCGTTGTGTGGTATGTATTTCGATTCGAGTCTGAATTGAAAAGAGTCCACTCAGAAATGAAGCTTCACTCTCACTCCCCTTCCTCCTCCAGCTTTATTGATAGTTAAAATTACATTTCTATTTTCTAGGACTTCAGTTGCTTTTACCTTCCGACTTTTAAACTGAGTACAAGCGAATGATAGTTTTTACTTTTACTGTAGTCTAAGTGATATTGTACAAAAATAACATTTGATTTCTGTGAAAACATTCACCTTTCTCCTAACTCCAAATCATAGTTTTTCCCCACCCACCACTATTCCACTGAAGTGTTTTCCCCCCTCCTTGGGTCAAACGACCTGCAATCGTGGGGTTCCACACTTGACTTTTTTTTTTTTTTCTTTGCTGCTCCACTTGACCGGACGTGCGCCTTACAAAGTTATTGTTCTCCTAAATAATTTCGTGTTCTCTCATGTTTTGAATGTGCTGTAAACTTGCTTGTCAATGATGCATTTAATAACCGTTTTCTCCACTTAGCTGCGTGCTGCTGGTTGGGCCTGGGCAGATCTGACTCCATGAGTCCTGTACTGCTTTCCCAGGTTAATCACTCTTAGCGCAACTCACTACCGTAGATTTAAAAAAAAAAAAAAAAAAAAGGCAAATCATACCCGGAAGTTCACATTTCCTTGAATTTTTTTCCCTACTGCTCTCTCCCGAGGCCTCGTTCGATGAGGCCCGGAGAGGCCGACTCAACAACATTTCTTAGCTGCGTACTCCCACTCAACTCACTCATCCCTGTTCACC